CACTCTGAGTCAGCCAGGTGTGGCTCGGGTCCAAGGTCCTCCTTCCCTTGCTGGCTGGATGGCCCTGAGCCAGTTACTTCACCTCGTGACCCCAAGCTACTCCTCCTGTGAATGGGGGTAAGGCTTGTGTCATGTAACTTGCCTGCTATGAAATGAGAGGATATATGGAAAGCACCTTTCATGGCCCTGACACATAGTAGCACTCAGTGATGCCCAGCACGAGACCCTGTACCCGAGGAATCTGACCAACACATAACAGTGTGGGGCTTTCCCTCCCTTGTTTTCGACACCGTGCGTCTAGTAATGCAACTTAAGATGGTTTTATTACTTTTGGCATATCGCTCAGTAGTTCTCAGCCACTTAAATCCCCATTCTTTCCACCTGTGGCAGCTACAGCCCTCATAATGGGCCCAGCTGCAGGCAGGGATGTTCCAGAAATATGGCCAATCCCACGCCACTTCCTCCATGGAAGGCCTGCCCAATCCGCCCAACAAAGGAGGGATCCGGGGAGATGCGAACCCAGGCCCTCCGGACCCTCCCCTGACCCTCTAGTCCCACGGGGTGTCGGCCCAGCCACGTGCTCACGGGGAGAGATAGTGGACACTCAGTTCCTACGTGGTGATGGTGAGAAGGGTGGTGGATATTCCCCAATGCTGCTCTGCCACCCAGCCTAGACACTTACTGAAATGACTTTTTAAACAAGTTACTGGTGGGATGGGGGTGACAGGTGGAAACCTGCATCCACATTGGGATCCAGAGAGCATCCTGGGCCACCACGTGGTTCGGACATTGCAGACAATCCACGGATCCACGGCTAGAGTCCACTGACTAGGGAAGGAAGTCGCCGGGGGTAACGAGTAGCTCCCCTGCAGGGAGCAGGCCTGTTGTTCTGGGAAGGGCGGGGTGCGGAAGCTCGCCGGCGGAGGACAGACATCAGGCTGTGAGCACTCACCACATGCCAAGTGCTTCACGGTTTCATCTCTCTCATCTTCACCACGAGTAGGCCAGGTAGCAAGAGCCCACTTTCTGTAACAACGAGGAGAGGAGACGGGTGCTGAGAGGTGTGGGGCTCATGCTGGGTCACACGGCCGGTGAGTGTGAGGGCAGCCAGGGCTGGGCCAGCACCTGTAGGCCAGTTCCAGTCTTCAAACTTGATTTGTCCTACCTACTATTTAAAAATAAGGTAAGCCAACTTTTGGGAATTGGGAGATTTCACATAAAAATCCAGACCCCTAGTGTCTCTTTAAAAAAAAAGGCAAACAAACATAAAGGAAGATGTGGCAACACTGGGCTCCAGAGCCGAGGGCTGGCTGCCTCCTTAGAGTGTGGTTCCCCAGGCAGCCCCGCTCCTCCCCAGGCCCTGATGCCTCTCCAACACGGAGGGCCGGTGCCCGTGGCCATCGGCCATTACACTCCTCCTGTGTGCTTCTTGTAAGACACACGTGTTTCATCATTCCTAGGACTCTCCCGAAAGTGAGGAAATAAGCAATACATTGAAAGGGCCTCTATTTGTCACTGGCTCATGGCTGAGGGCAACAGTACCACCTTCTTCTCTGTGTCCCAGCACTTAGCACCATCTTCTGAACATAGTAAGTAGGTGCCCAATACATGCCTGGTCTCTAGGTCCCCCGACTCCTGATGAGAGGGTGATTCTGGAGTCCGAGTCCTGGACTGGCCGCCTACCAGCTGTGTCATCTTCGTTGAATACCGTAACCTCTCCATGCCTCAGTTTCCTCAGTGGAAACACCGCAATTCCTAACTCGTGGTGTTGTGAAGATTAGATGAAGGTGAGGTTATATATGGAAAGCACCTCCCTGGCTCAGAGTAAGGGTCCCACAAATGTCGGTTCCCCATCTCCTCCATCTGTTTGGCTTACCCCAACCTCCAAAGCACCTCTCTCTATGGAACTGGCAAGGACAGGCTCCTAGAAATCAGATCTGGATAAATGACTCCATCCATCGCCCAAGGCTTCTACAAGGCAAAAGCACTTCTGGCCCAAGTGACCAGATGTTCCAGTGGGGGCTGGGTGACCTTCCTCTGTGCATCATGGGACTTCGATGCTGTTTAGCAATATCTGCCTTCGAGGTCCCTGCATACCTCCTCTTTCTCTGGAAGGTACTCCCAGAGCCGGCCCGAACCCCCTGAACCCCCCATTCCGGTTCTCCCCACCATCCATCCATCTGAGCAGCCCCCACACTCATCGGACTGAGCCAAGCAGACACAAGCCCCAGACACCTTGGTACAGTTTTATTCAAACTCCAGATGCCCAGGCTTGGCCTGGCAGAGGGTGTGTTCTTGCCAGAGGCAAAAAGTGATACAGCACGTTCGTTAATACTCATCGTTTTAATTTAAATTAATAGCATTTCTGGAAGACAAATGCAGTTGGTAGAAAATATAAAAACTTTTCCTGTACAAATTTTACATCACATTCAAAAGAGCGAGTGTGTGCCTCGCGGCCACAGGAGACGCAGGGGGTGCGCACGCTGATGAGATCCCGGCTGACGTCGCCGAAAACAAGCTCCCGGTTCGGCTTCACAGTTATGTCTCCACCTGCCCCCAAATCGACACCGAACACAGGCTTCAGGGCGCCACTCCCCCCGAGGTCACAAGAAACTCGGGGTGGGGCAGAGTCCAGGGCCCTGCGCCTGTCTTTAATTTGGTGACATGGAGAGGTCACTTTGCTACACACCGCTCACAACGAACAGGGACTCGCTGGGGTTCAGGACCTCAAGTTGGATGGAGACCCAATGGCTGCGGCTCTGGTGGCTAAAGGCAGTGGGGACACAGACCTCGGGACTTTGGAGGTGAGGCTGGAACTGGGGGGGCCCTGAAGGGCCAGCGCTTGGGCTCCACTCTGACCCCAGTGCGGACCTCTGCAGCCCCGAGCTCTCTCCAAGGAGGCCTCCCAGCGTCTCCTTCCCCTTCACAGTTGGCCACGAGGCTGAATTCACAGTATCTGCCGTCCTTCACGTTTCCAGGGCAGGAAGGGAGAGCACACGGAGGGCGCGCACGTCTTCCTAACCCCATTCACAGTCGTGGAAACACAGGGAAGGGGGCCAGTGGGGGGGCTTTCCGAGGTGTTTATCCTAAATGACGGGGAGTGCAGAGGCTCGGGCTACTCGTGGGGAGGCTGCCCGGGGCCTTGGAGAAGAGGTGCCCCCCAGGCGCTCAGCTACACTCTTGGGGTTCCTGGCAGACCGTCAGTTCCATCAGGGTGGAGACGGTGACTGTCCTATCACCAGGCCCCCAGCACTTGCACAGAGCACAGTAGCTGCTCAATGAAAGCTTCTTGAGCTGACCCACGAGTGTCACACTCATGAGAAAAAACAAAACGCAGACTAACTTCCGTGGGCTAAGGAGGCACTGAGCCCCGTGTGCTCCGCTGCTGTCCAACCCAGGGCTCACCAGCACGGCCTCGGGCTCAGAGGGGGAAGCTGAGAGGCAGCAGTCACACACACTGTGATGACGAGTGGGGGTGACCTTGTAGAGGGCTGACGGGGGAAGCCAAAGGCATGATGGGGAGAAACAGACCTACACAAGCCGAAGCCACTGGTTTCCAGCTCCCATCTTCCTCCCACACCCTAACTGGGAAGTGGGGAGGCGCTCCCATCTGGAGGGCGGACGGGCAGTGGGAGCTGGGTACCTTGCATTGCCCGGCAACTGTGCTCTCCAAGTACCGCTCAGCCAGGGTGCTGGCCTGGCCTGGAGAGGGGCCCACAGCCCACAGCCCACAGCGTCTGGGCAGAGGCCCGTTTCATATGGCATTTTGGTCAGACCAGGAAGGGGGAGGGCGGCTCTGACGATTGGGAGCTTTGCTAGGGGCATAAATGAAAGGGGTGGGAGGACCACCTGCCTCCCACCTTGGCTCAGAGCATGGACACAGGTTCTGGGCCTGAACCCAACCACACGGCCACTCTCACCCCCCTTGGTCATTTCTGGTGGGGAGCCTAGTAGGACAGAACGTCCACTGACGGGCTTCTTTGCCACCTGGGACTTGTCTCTTGAGGCGGCAGCTTCTAATGAAGACAGGCAGGATGCCCTCTCATCACGGGCTGTCCTTCTGGTTCAAACGGAGGCCTGACAGGGAGGCCTGACTCGGTGCTGGGGAAGGCTCTGGAGACTGGGGGGCTCTCATGAAAGGGGGGGCACACGCCTCCCTTCTTAGGTCTGCACATGGACAGTGGGGGAGCCAGGAGTGGGCTGAGGGGCTTCAACAGGACTGGGGCCGGGGAAGAGATGGGCGGCTCCAGGCCTTGGGGTGACTGAGGCTGGGTGTCTAAGGGGCCAGCCAGGTAACACTGAGGCTGGGAGGGGGTTCGGGGACCCACTGCTGCTTCTCCTTCCCCCGCACCTTCCTGTCCTCACGGAACCTTCAGGGCACACACAGCCTTCGCTCTGGGGTCAAATGTCAGTCAGGGATTCAGCTGTGTCTAAAAAGCCGAGGCCCTGGCTGCCTCCCTGGGGGCAGGAAGGAAACTTCGCTGCAGAAGGTGGAACCCTGGCGGGAACCACTGGATCGGTGCAGATGTTATTCGGGTTTGATCCGTCTCTGCGTTTCCAGCTGGGGTGGGCTGAACTGCAGGGGTCAGAGGTGAACCCAGCTCTCTGGGATCTGGGGACCCTCGTATTCCAGCTCGGTTCCCAGCCAGGGTTTCCTCTGCAAGAGGAGGAAGGGACGAGGGGAGACCCCGGCCGAGGGAGCTTCCCCCGCTCCCGACAGGGTTTAGAGGCGAGGTCAGATCTGTGGTCCCCCGTCCTGCCCCCAAAACGTCCACAACCAGGAGGCTTTCCTTCCTGCGGCCCAGCGCAGGCTCCCTGCCCACAGGGCTCTGCACAGGGGCACCACGTCCGCTGTCCCGGCCGGCGGGGCCGGCGCACCCCCGCACAGCCCGCTTTTATTATTACCTATTGTAAAACATTGCGCTCACTCCACAGAAACGTACATGTAAACATTGGCTGCCCGTCGGGACAGGTTTGGTTGTTGGTGATGTCACGCTCCGTCTCCGAGACCCGAGTGTTTTCTGCGCACAAACAGGTCTGAGCCCAGAACGCAGGCTGAGCCCAGAACGCAGGCTCCTGGCTTGCGGCACTTGGGAGAGCGGCGGGCGGACGTTTCGGCGGCGAGTGCTGCTTTTTGTGGTGGAGGTTGTGTGGATGTTTTAGAAACACTTTGAAAAAGGAGGAAATCAGCGGGGAAACTGCACAGCTGGCTACATCTTTGGATTACTGGCCTCCAGGGCGCCCAAGCCAAACCTCTCAAACCGGGGTACAACTTTGCTGCTGTTAATGCTGCAAAGAGGAACAAAAACAAGGGTTACGGCCCCGCTGGTCTCGAGCAGATTAGGGTGACATGAGCTAAGGAGCGGGCCAATTCCAGAAGCTCACAGAGGACACAGCCCACCAAGAAGGGAGAATGATCCCACAGCCCACGGCCGTAGTCTCGGCAGAGCTGCTCCTGGTCGTGCCGGGTCGGGAGCCCAGCCTTGGCCACACGCCCCCTGGAGGGCGGCGGCTTGTGCCTCTCACAGCCCCCAGCTCCCAGAGCAAGTACCTGCCATGGGCCCCTCTGAGCTGACTTCTCACCACAGCCCAGGGAAGCTCGTGCTCCCAGAGGAACTGGGAGAAGGACACCCGACCCCAGAGCTGAGTGACATCACCAGCTCCTGTGAGAAGTGGGCCTCATACACGGGAGAACAACAGGGCCACCTGGGAGCACGCGGTGCTCAGGGCCGGCCTCCAGAGACCGGGATCGGGTCTTGGGGGCCCAGGAATCTGCATTTGGCAACAATGCAGGGACTCTGGGTGCCCGGCCAACCACACTCTCGATGAGCTGGCTCAGGGTCTGGAAATTGCCGTCCGCACTGGGCAGATGTAAAGGGAGCAACGTTGCGGGTGGGAGGGGGCAGGAGCTTTGCTTTCATCAGTGAAACTGTTTGGAGACAGGCCCCTTGCTTTCAGACGACCCCCATGAGCGCTGCTGAGCAGTCCTTCCAAGCGTCTGTCTTTTACGGCAACAGACCTTGGGGTGTCCACCACCGGCAGCCCTGCAGAGGGCACAGCCCTGCGCAGCTCTGAATCGCCCCACTCCTTGCTGGACAAGATCCCTACGGTTAATAGCCAAGCAGACCCCCTCCCCCTGTTCTTTGGACCCAGCCACTGGGAGGCCGACGTGCTGCGGTTGGCAACGTGCAGGTTGGCAGGGTGGGGGGAGGGCACAGGTCTCACTGAGCTGTTAGTAGGAGGCAGGGCCACCCAACAAAACACGCTAGCACCCGCAGAGGAAGAGCTAGAGAGGGTGCAGCCACGTCCAGGGCCTTCTGGGGGGAGCTGTTAGGGGGTCCTCCGCGGACGTCAGTTATTCAGGCACACGCAGGCGGTGGAGACGGAGGGGCCAGTTTTAAAAACAAACAAAGCGAAAGAGGAGGCCTCAGGAGAGAAGGTGGAGTGGCAGAGATGGCATCCCCGGGTTAGTGCCCGCCTCTCGGGTTGCATTTGAGCAGGAGTCGAGGAGCCGAGTGACGATTAGGAGGAAGAAAGCCCCAGGCACATGCGAGGCAGCCAGGCCTACAACCTATGGGAGGAAAGAGAAGGGAGAGCAGCGTGAGTGAGAACCGGGCCCCACGGGGCGGGGGCGGCAGCCGGGGCCTGGCCAGGTCAGGGGACCCTCTTTCCCTGGACAGAAAGGGACGCTCCTGTTCCATCCCAGGCCTGGCAGCCGAGCGGGCAGGGAGGGGAGCCTGGCGCAAAGAGCCATCCCTGAGCTGCCCGGAGCCCGGTCACAGGATCTGAATCAGAGGTCGGCCAATGGGCCCTCTGCCCCTCAGCCCTGGACTATGGAGATGGACTTGTTGGAGCTCACTACTTCTGCTCACTGCATTCCTCTGTAAGCTCTGGCCAGAGGGCACCCGGGGGTCTCAGACGATGACCTCCGTTCTCTCTCACCCAGGCGCAAGCCATCGTCTGCCACAGGGTGGGCAGAGGCCCTGCGAGAGAAATACGAGCCCGCAGAGGCCTTACTGGCGGCCGTTTCAGCTGCAAAAACATCCCTTTGGTTTATGAGAAAAACACACACAAAGATGAGGTCGCTGGATGCAGACAGGCAGGAAGCAGGGTGAGCGGAGGGGAGGCTGCGTCAGGCAGAGAGGGAGGGAAGTAACAGAAGACACACTATTCCTCCAGAGCCGGGCAGGGGTTCTTAAAGTCAGGGTGGCCGTATCGTCCTTTCCCGTAGTATCGGCTCCGCCAGCGACTGGGAGTGCCCCGCGACCATGTTGCCAGGTGTGGGAGGAGCGAAGTCCGCAGGTGATGCCGTAGGGTCGGCCCCCCGCGTGGCAGGTGGAGGAGGAGCCACAGGAATCAGGATGACGGGAAGAGAGAGGGAGATGACAGGACAGGTCATCGCATCAGCCACCCCCCAAAATAAAAAAGCAACAACACCGATGGAAAAGAAAAAGAAAAGGAGAATTAGAGGCTGAGTGTGTAGAAGTAAAAGTCATGAACAGGAAGCTGTGACACGGACTCGTGAGGGGGTGCTGGCATTCTTTTCCTTAGAGGCTGATCGTGGTGGGCCAGAAGCAGTGCCCAGTGGTGCCTCAGTTTCCCTCGGTGAAATGAGACCGTGGGCTATGGGGTCTTTGGGGGATCTGGAACCATCTCACAGCACCTAGCTTTCTCTTCTGCAGACGAGAAAACCGGGGCCCAGACTGTCAAATGAGTTGTCCGATGCCGGACAAGCCAGATCCTTGGACTTCCTGCAAGTCCAGGAGAACCCCAGCTCCAAGGACTTCTCTGCTGGAGACCCTTCCTCAAGCTCCCTGGGTGGGCAGAGAGGGCCCGTCCCTGCTCCCACAGAGGCCGTGCTCTGTCCCAGCACTCGGCATATTGCAATTATTCCCTTGTTCGTTCACGTACCCATCACATGTTTACTGAGCAAAGGAGAAAGGTTGGGGACTAGAAAGCTCTGTGCTGAGTCTGCACTATTTTAAGCCACCGCCACTCTGCGGGTTTTGGTGATGCTCTGACGTCCAGGGGCCCGTGTGGCCCTGTCCTATGCAGCATCCTCTCGTCTGGGCCTGGCCTGGGCCCAGCGTCAGCACTTCTCTGAGAACAGTGATATGGAAGTTTTCAGAGGAGAGCTGGAGACAAAAGGCGTCTCCAGACTAGACGCGGTGAGTGAGATCCTGGTATCACTGGTGAGGAACAGGTTCTCCGGCTAATCTGCTTTGAGTGTTTGCCACAGTCCTGGGCACACAGGGCACCTGGTGCCCTCTAAGACCCCACCTGCAGCTACCAAGGCTGGCTGGCGGGTTTGGCCGCTGAAGGGGTACTTACTCAGCAGACTTCCAGAAGTGCCCGGGGTGGGAGAGCCGCCGGTTCAGCTTGGGCAGTTTCTCCAGCATGTCCATCAGCAGCGTGAAGCTGGGCCTCTCCTGCAGGTCGAAAGCCCAGCAGGCGGACAGGATCTCCTGTGGGCAGAGGCGGCGTTAGTGGGTGTGAGCCGGCTGAGAGGGAGGAAGGTGAGCTGGGGCCTCTGCACAGGGTCCCCTCGGCGCTCGCAAGCACCCCTGGCTGGTGGTCCCGGAACATCCTGCTGACATTGCGATGACTGGCCAGCAGGGCTGAGAAATAACCGAATTTCAGAAAAGCGCTCATACCTCCAGTTCAAATAGAAACGCACAAGCCCATCTCCCCTCCTTCCTTCTTTTTTGAAAAATATATTTTTATTGATTTCAGAGAGGAAGGGCAAGGAAGAGAGAAACATCAAGGATGAGAGAGAATCATTGATCAGCTGCCTCCTACATGCCTTTTACTGGGGATCAAGCCTGCAACCCGGGCATGTGCCCTTGATCGGAATCGAACCCGGGACCCTCCAGTCCACAGGCTGATGCTCTATCCACTGAGCCAAACCAGATAGGGCTCCCCCAGTTCCTTCTCAGACCTCCCTGGAACAACAGCAACAAAGCTGAGTAACAGGTCATAGAAAAGACATCGGCAAGGAAGCCACCAATTTTGAGAACGGAAAGTGGAAGGCGGTGTGTTGACAGGTGAAACACAAGATGCTCTGAATGTGTGCAGAGGGGGCGGCAACAGGTGGGAGCCTCAGCGTCACGGGAACGAAGGCTGGTGACAAGGACTAAATGCGGGGCAGCAGGTGAGAGTGGGCAGCACGGCGGCCCCGAGCGGCCCCAGAGCAGAGCCCTGCTCACCGTGGCGATCTGCGGCCTAATCTCAGGGACCCACACATGTACACCCACCCCCTCTTCAGCCTTTTGATTCAGAGCTACCTGTGAGGAAACATCCTGCACGCACAGTCAGGCTGACGTGCCCATGTGACAGCGGCATGTGCACATCCACTTAGACTCAGCAGCTCAGGTGTTTGCTCCTCACTATGACCGGGCCCCTGGGGTGGCTGCCAGATAGGAAAACTGGGGATAAACGGACCCTAAAAACACCGACTGAGGACACGGTGCGTGTGTGCGGGGGAGGGTTATCCATAAAACAAGACCAGGGTGCAATAAAGAAAGAAATTGACAAAGTGATAAAGTGCTTGCAATGAATCATGCAGCCTCCGAAATAAAACGTGAGGTAGAAGGAGTAGAAAATAAGATCAAGGAAATCCCCTCCCTGCGGACCCAGCTCTGGGGAGGAATGGAAGGAAATGTGACAGAAGGTGAAAGACACGGAAACTCACGCGGAAGGACCACATTCTGTCTAGTGGAAGTTTCCACCAGAAAACAAAGAAACCATAGGCAGGAAACTAGAACAGCCATAAACAAGAAATCGTCTCAGAAAGTGGAGGGGAACAGAAATCTTCAACTGCCAGGGCCCAATCAAGGTACTGACTGAAGAAGATAAAAAGACTCCAGGTGACGCCAGAACACAGCAGGTTTGAACTCAACCAACGGGCAGGGAAGCTTTTTTTTTAAGAAGGAGGGTAAGCGTGGGGTGATAAAGGACACGGGCCTCCAGCCAGCAGCAACGAGGCCGGCCTGGCACACATCTGCCCCAGGTCCCGCGGCTCAGGTGTGTGAAGGAAGCGCAGCCAGGCCAGCTGCCCACGCCCTCCCTCTAGCCCAGTGATGGCGAACCTTTTGAGCTCGGCGTGTCAGCATTTTGAAAAACCCTAACTTAACTCTGGTGCCGTGTCACATATAGAAATTTTTTGATATTTGCAACCATAGTTAAACAAAGACTTATATTTTTGATATTTATATGCCATTTAACAAAGAAAAATCAGCCAAAAAAATGAGTTCGCGTGTCACCTCTGACACGCGTGTCATAGGTTCGCCATCACTGCTCTAGCCCTTCCTCCCTGTCCTCGGACAGGTGGCTACTCACCGTGACCTCCTTCCCCAGGCTGGCGGAGGCCAGGACTCGCTTCATTCCCTCTCCACTTCCGATCTGCCAGATCAAGGCCTCTGCGGCTTGGTTCTTAAAGGGCCAGTCTCTTGCTTGCAGCTCATACCAAACGGTCCTGTGGAGACCATCCGTGCAGCGTGAGCTCCTGGACCGCTCAGCCCAGCTCACGCCCGGGGCTCCTGCTGCCAATGCCAGGAGCCCAGCCAGAGGCTGCAGGATCCTTCTCCAGCCTTCTCTACCTGCCAGGCTTCAGGGAATGCCATGACCGCGTCCTGGAGGGTCTAGCAGTGGTTCTCAACCTTCCTAATGCCACGACCCTTTAATACAGCTCCTCATGTTGTGGTGACCCCCAATTTCATTGTTATAAATGGAACATAATTAAAGCATAGTGATTAATCACAAAAACAATATGTAATTATATATGTGTTTTCCGATGGTCTTAGGCAACCCCTGTGAAAGGGTCGTTCGACCCCCAAAGGGTCGCGACCCACAGGTTGAGAACCGCTGGTCTAGAGTGTCTGTGGCCTGGTGTTCCCATTGTGCTGGGGAGTCTGAGGCAGCCCAGGCTCTGAGCAGAGATCCTGGTGTAACTGTCAACCTCAGTGGGGCTGATGCCTACATCCAAAGGTTGTTTGAGGAGCAACAAAAATGCCACGCCCAGTGCCTGGCACACAGGGTTCTTCAGAAATGATAAGGAAGGAGGCGGGCGGGGAGACCACCACCAAGGGAAGGACACCCGAGAGATTACAGGGTGAGGCCTCACTCAGCCTCTCCGAGTCCCCTGGCCTCTCCCGACTGTTAGAGCCCCACTGTCCCGTGTGGGGGCCACTGAGCCACTCTCACGTGGGCGTGGGACTGAGTTGTGCTGTGGGTGTTAAAATACACGCCAGGCTTTACAACTCCATACGGTAAGGCAGCCCCTTCAATTTTAATTTCTGATTACATGTTGAAGTGATAATATTTTGGAGAATCCAAGTTACAGAAAATATATGACTGCAACGGATTTCATCGGTTTTTCTTTTTTAATGCGGCCAAAAGAAAACTTCCTATCTGGCTCACATTAGACAGGGTGAGGCAGAAGGAGGTTTGCAGTTATTCGTATGGAAAATAAATAGTAATGTAAGAATGATCTGTTTCGTGTACTCACAACTGCAAACCTCCTTTTGCCCCACCCTGTATCCTCCGTTTTTCTTTTGCTCACTTTCCAGGGGCACTAGAGGCTGCTGGCAGGACATCCCAGAGTGAGGGGACCCAGAGGGGCAGTTCTTAGCTCTGGTGAGCATCCTCACGGACAATGCGTGAGACCTTAGTCCCCAGGGAACTATCCTATTGGGGAGGTGCCATTACTCTCCCATTTTACAGGCAGGGAAAGGGAGGGTCAGGAGTGTAGTCACTCGCCCAACAAGCAGCAGAGCCAGGGCTCAAAGCACACCCCCCGGCCCCCACCCCGGCCCTCAGCATCAGAGCCGCAGCAGGAGGGCCTCCTCACCCGAATGCATAGACGTCAGCAGCTTTGGAGAACGGCAGCTGATCCTCTTCTTTCCCGGGGGTCATCTCGCGCACGATCTCAGGAGCCAAGTAGCACAGCCAGTCGTGTGACAGCTTCAGCTTGTTCTCACACCTGGTGGCCAAGAAGTCAGGGCTCGGATACAAGGCCTTTCAGCGAGCGGCCATCAGAGGCTCGCCCGGCCCAGAGAGGCCGCACGCTGAGCCTGCACTTGCCAAGGCACGGGGCGCTTGGGGGGAATATAACAGGAGAGCAATAGCCGGGTTTTTCTAGGGAAGCCGGCCAAGAAGGGGGATGGGGAGGGAGCCGCACTGACAGGTGCCTGGTTCTCGGAGCACATCCTGGAGGACTGGAGCACATCCCTGTGCAGGAAATCAGACCTGCTGTGCATCTCAGGATCTGGCCTGGAGCTGGCTCTCCAGCCCGGCTGACACTCTGCCTCCCGGGGGTCCCCCAGATGCTTGGAGAGGAGCCTTTCTCCCCATCCCACCCCTTCAAGATTTGGAGAAATAACACCTGACGCCCTTCCTCACATGGGGGACTTGAACCCTGGTCCTCTGCCCAAGGTGGTAAATGTGAGTGAGGGGACCCGGCCTCATGGGTCAGCCTGAGAATCAAGTGTACGAGGGACCTACAGGTCATCGAATCTGATTCTGGACCAGAACCACAAAGGCAGGACCAAAGCAAACTGGCCCTTCCTACAGGGAGGGCTGCTCCTCAGACACAGGAGTGCCTAGACCCCAGCTGGACCCAGGCCCACCCAGCACCCCAGTTCCTCCCAGTTCCGTCCGGATGCCCAAGGCCAACTCACCGTCCCTCTCGGACCACGCCCGACATCCCGAACAGCCCAAAGTCGGTGATGACCACTTTGCCGTTGTCATAGAAGACGTTCTTGGATTTGAGATCCTTGTGCACGATGCCCTTGGCATGCAGGTACCCCATGCCCTGGAAGACAGCGGAGCCCCACGTCAGGGGGAGGGGAGATGAGTGACAATGACCTAGTGTCCACCTGGGCCAGGTGTACCCAGATCGCCTCACTTAATCTTCACAATCTCACGCGGTGTAACTGTCTCCATTTTACAGATGAGGAAACCCAACTCAGAGAGAGGCGGTCACCTGCTCCAGGCCACACAGCTGAGATCTGGCTTTGGTCCATCTGTGCCCTTTCCATGCCTGTGTTGTCCAGCATCCTACTCAGACTTAGCTAACGTGGGACAGGAGGAGAGGAGAGGGGTGGGAAGCTGGGTGCCAGGAAGTATATAAAACATGACGAAACCATCCGTATTAAGGCATACAGAACCCATGTGATCTGGGACCTCTATCCAGGCTTTAACCAGCAGGCTTCTACCCTCAGACTGGGCAAGGGCTTGGTTGGGGGGGGAGCGGGAGAGACAGAGGAATTCCCACAGAGGGCGTCCCCGAGTTTGGGAGGTCCTGGCATCTGTGCTGTCATGGGAGTTCTGGAATAATGGCTGAAATCTGGGGTCCAAGTTCCATCTCAGCTCAGATTCTAATTGGCTGTGCGGCCTTGGATACTCGGCTTCTCTGAGCCTCAGTTTCCTCATCTGACAAGCGAAAGGGCCGAGTGAGTGATTTCTAACCAGTACTCTATGTGGACTGAACACGGCCTGGCCAGGTAGGGGACGTGGGTGACCTGACATTGGCATGATGGCTTCAAGGTCAAGGCTGTCTTCTAATGCCAAACCCAGGACTCTGCAGCTACACCTATGAGTGACTTTTCTCTTCTGCCCCGGAATCTGCGTGATGGCTCAGTGTTCTGAGAACATGCAGAGAGAACAGTTTGAGGAGGCAGATAGGCAGAGGGGAGCAGGGCCTAGCATGTCTGGGGGCACAAGAAGTAGGTGTGACGCTTGTAAGAAATATGCCTCCGATTTATCTTCATAGAAAAGAAACAGCATGTGGCCAGGCAGCGGCTGAATTTCCCCAGAGCAAACAGGATGTGGGGGTGGGGAGAGAGGATGAGAGCTGTACCCGTGGCTGACAGCACTATCCTAGGAAGATTCCCCTAGACCAGTGGTTCTCAACCTTCCTAATGCCACGACCCTTCAATACAGTTCCTTATGTTGTGCTGACCCCCAATTTCATTGTTATAAATTGAACATAATTAAAGCATAGTGATTAATCACAAAAACAACATGTAATTATCTATGTGTTTTCCGATGGTCTTAGGCGACCCCTGTGAAAGGGTCGTTCGACCCCCAAAGGGTCTCGACCCAGAGGTTGAGAACTGCTGCCCTAGACAAAGGGAGGTGGAGGCCACTAGAGAAGGCCCCAGCCCCCCCCCTTTTTTTTAATAACCCAATGGGAGACAGCAAGACCGAGGTGACCTATTAGGAAACAGGTGATGAAATAGTATGCAGCCAATGAGGAACTGGAGGAATGTCTAAATAAATACGCTATGTCCCTTGCCCAGCGAGAGATTCTGTACAATGGGCGCCCACTCTCCAGAGTGTTATTAAAAGTCTCACTTTCGCCATGCTTCTGTTTCCTAGTCCGCCATGTGAAATGGGGACAGGCGAGCCATTTCTCACACGCGGCCGCTCTCCCCGGCCTCTCTGAAATGAGAGGCTCAGGGAAGGCATCAAGGTGGTGTTTTGGTTTTGGGGGCTTCACACGTTTAATTCATTAGCTCGGCCACAGGGAAACGCCACGTGGAAATCTTGGTTTGTCCATAAAAGTCACTGTGATGTTTAACTTTTCCTATTAAAAGTCACACCCCCGAAAGGGACGGAAGGAGGGAGAGGGCGGAGAAAGGAAAGGAGGCCGGGCTAAGGTAGAAGAGAAAGGAAAGGCCGGAAAGGGACCCAAACCTGGGGGCAGCTGCTGGGAAAGCTTTTCAACCGAAAACAAGAAAAGAGGAACTCCCACCCCGCAGTATTCTAGTTTTTATCTGGGCCTGTTGCTAAATAAAGCAAAAAAAAAAAAAAAAATAAGTTTTTCTTTTATTTTTATTTAACTACTTTAAAAGGATGAAAGAAAGAAAAAGGGCTGCCTGAGTTGAGCCCGGGGGCCTGTCCTCATGAAACTTGGATTTGGAAACTTTAAGGCAGAAGTGTGGGTGCTCCCCGAGCCCCCCACCACAATGCTAACAGACACACCCCGTGCTGGCCCCGGGCCCCATGCTCTCTCCGTAGATTATCCCGTGTTACCCTTGTGTCCATCCTCCAAGGGAGGTTATGTTGGTTTCCCCGTTTCATACGGAACCCAAGGCTCAGAGAGGCTTAACCACCTGCCCGAAGTCACACAGCTGATGGGAGCAGGATTCAAACTCAGGCCGCCTGGCGTTAAAGCCCGCTGCGTTCCTCCCTGACCAATCCATTCCCTCACTGCTCACCTAGTTTCCAGCTGTAGCTCTAATTGGATGAGACACAGATGGAGGGGAGGAGTGTAGGGGTCCCACCCTTGAGGTACCCCAACGCAGGGGAGAGACAAAGGCCGCCGCCACCACCCTGACACAGGCAGGCAGAGCGGAGGACGCCCCTGACCTTGATGATCTCCTGAGCGATCTGCCGCGTCTTGTTGATGTCCAGCGATGTCTTGGGGTCCCTCACAAACGAGTGTAACGTCCGCCCCTTGCAGAAGCTGTTGAGAGCGGCGGGTCAGGCAGAGGTCTGGGGCCAGTGCAGCCTGACCCCGGCCCCGTGGAGCCTGGGAGGGGCCGTGGGGAGAGCTGTGCTCTCTCCAACCCCTGCACCAGAATCCTCGTTCTTAACCAAGCCTGCCTACCATTCCTCTGGGCCTGCCTGAATGTACAAACACAAACTCAACTCGCATGCACCCCATTTGTGGCCCAGGGCAACGTCGGGCCCTGGGGCTCCCTGTAATGATTCTCATGATCGTTTCTATTGTTTTCTGATCACAGAGATTTTATTTCAGTAAAGGAGAGTGGGAGGAGGGTGGAGGGGGGTGTCAGCATGGTTATTGGATAAGGGCCCGCATTTTGGGGCCCCCCCTACATTGTCCCCTAAAACGTGAGGTGAGGAAGGACCCAGAGAGAACGTGTGCCCATCCTCCTGTCCCAGGAGAAGGTGACTTACGCCACCCGAGGGAGGGGCTAGTCGTTAGAAAACATCTCCAAGGAGATAAGATGCTGGAGCCTCAGAAACTCTGAGAGCAGATGAGGGTCCAGATTATTGGCTGATAGTTCCTTATCTGTGTCCCAGTGCCTTCAGGATATTCTACTAGTAAAGCACGCTAAACCTTTGTCAACGAAGGCCCTGCTTCATTATTATAGGTATTCCTTCTAAGCCAGTGGTTCTCAACCTTCTGGTCCTTTAAATACAGTTCCTCAGGTTGTGACCCACCCATAAAATTATTTTCTTTGCTACTTCATAACTGTAATGTTGCTACTGTTATGAATCGTCATGTAAATATCTGATATGCAGGATGGTCTTAGGCGACCCCTGTGAAAAGGTCGTTCGACCACCAAAGGGGTCGCGACCCACAGGTTGAGAACTGCTGTAGCAGACTCACATCTTTTATGGGACTGGGTGGGTAAGAGATGGAAGGATGGAAGGACGGACGGACTGCGCTGGGGGCTGGGGTGTGGGGGTTGTGGAGCTGGCGTCACCACCGTAAGGCTGCCTAAGGAACCACGCTGTCGTGCTCTGGGCTGGCATTTTGTCCCCGGGTGTGCTGGCAGGTGACCTCGCACTGCTCAGGAGTTCTGGTGGGTGGTGACTTATGCCTGTTTCTGATAAACAAGCAAAATGGGGGTGTATCCATGTCCAATCACTATGCTGTACACCTGAAACTAATATAATATTGCCTGTCAACTATAACTGAAAAATAAATTTAACTAAAACCAAAAAACTTCCACCCTCTCCAGGGCACCCACATAAGTATCAGGGCCCCCAGGGAAGGTGAGGCTGAGGCGGCCACCCCAGCGGGGGCCGGGGCGGGGTTACCTGGTGATGATGGCCAGGTGGGGCGGGTTCATGCAGGCCCCCATGAAGAGCACCACGTTCTCGTGCCGCGTCTGCCGGTAGTTCATCACCTCCTTCTTGAACAGCTTCAGGTGGTCCTGGTTGTGGCCGTCCATCTCCAGCAGGCGGATGGCCACCTCGCCGTGCCAGCGGCCACGGTGCACGCGGCCCCAGCGGCCCTGCCCGATGGGCTCGCCCAGCTCCACCTGCTCGAAGGGGATGTCCCACTCCTGCAGGTACACGCTGGTCTGGCTGGCCTTGCGGGAGATGGGGCCCCGCCAGGTGCGGCGGGAGCTCGGCAGGTCGTCCACCTCGTCCTCGTCGTCTTCCGCCTCTGACTTGCCGGCCTCCGGCTCCTCGGCCTGGAAGGACAGGAGGAAGGAACTGAGGGGCAGCAGATCCGGACTCCGCTGACTCCCCCTCCCCGGAGCCCCGATCAGGTGAGGGAGGAGGACGGGCACGGGGTCGGGAGGCCCGGGTCCCGGTGCCAGCCCTGCACTGGCTTGTGTGGACAAGAGGCAGGTCACTTGGCACCTCAGTGTCCTCATCCACGAAATACAGGCTTTGGCTGGGGGAGGGGGGCATGGGGGGGGGAGGCCTAACACGCCAAGAGCTCCCTATGAGTGACATCTGATCACTGGGGAAGCGCTGACATCCCCGGCATGAAGAATTTAACTGCATTCATGCTTCCTGGGTGTTCTTTTGTTTAAGCACAAGCGTCTGACTCTTCTCTGGGCAGGAGTTAGTTAACATTCTGCTCGCTTTGCAGGGAGCCAGGCTCGGCTGACACTGTGGTTCAAGGGTCAAGTGGTGTTGGCCTTGGCTACAATCAGAATCAGCTGGGGAGCTTTGGTAACAGATGTCTGGCCCCACCCTAGACGGACTGAAGCAGAGTCTCGCGGGCTGGGCCCGGGCCTCCAGGCTGGGGGTGGGAATCATGGGCATTAAGAGCCGACTTTAGCCTCCAAAACAGAAAAGCAAAGGGAAGCTTGCTTCCTCATCCTTCTTCCCTGCCGAGCACACCTGGCCACATCTGCTGCAGCAGGCACCTGAGGTGGCCTCGCAGGGCCCGGCGCCTAACCCGCTCTGCATGCTGAGCTGGAGGGAAAGAGGGAGGGGGGAGAGAAGGCGCTGTCTAGGCTCACCTCTACTTCATGATCCTCCAACACGTCTGCCTTCGGCTGGTCGTCGAGCCTACGAGTAAAACTGGGTTTGTCAAGGAGGCCCTGAGGGTGGGCCACTCCGCTCTCAGCTGGGCCGGGGACTCCCCTGTGAGGTCTGAGAAGAGGCCACCAGGCCTGGATCCTGACTTTGACCCTCACCTATGGGAAAGGCGGTCTGGATGCTGTGGAAACAGTCAGGAGGCCGAGGACCAAGCCCCATCCCCTTCTCCAGCCTCGGCCTTCTCCAGACTAACCCGAGGGTGGCGGGGATGGGGGGGGGGGGGCGGCAGGGACCACCAAGGCCCTTTCAACCTGACAGCCAGTATGGAGGTTCCAACACAAGCACAGAACTTGAGATTCTACTTGAGAATTGGTTCTGGTACGTCCCGGCTGTGTGACTTGATGCAGTTTCTTAACCTATCTGAGCTGGCGATCCCATCTGTACACTGAGGATGTACCTACTTGGGAACCTGAGTCAGGTGCTCAGCGTGGCCTGACACTGAGCTAGGGCTGCATGAGCAGGAGCTATTTCTAGTAGTTTCTATAACTCTGAGTACCCTTTGCCCCCTCCTCCTGGGTCAGGTTTACCGCCCCACCCAATGTTGACTGCACCGATAAGAGGCGAATAAAACCCTCTGGCTGAGCTCAGGGGCCTAGGGGGTGCCTTAGTCCAAGCCGTTTGCCATCTGGCTGGCCCAGGTGCAAAGTGAGAGGTCAGAGGTTCACGGGGTGCGGGGAGACGGTCAGAGATGTGGATCCAGCTGCCACGAGTCCCCATGGAGGAGAAAGAGGACACAGCATGGGAATGCCTACCGGGTGCTGTCTGCTGCATCGGGGAACGGGGCTGCCGGTGGAAATGCGGAAATGTCTGGAGGAAACAAAAAGCAAATACGAAGCGTGAGACCACCTTCCTGCCCCCGTGAAAGACACAGCGCTTACACGCAGGGAAGTGGGTTCTCCCCCAGCCGCCCCTCACAGGGCTACACACGGGTTCTCCAGCCCTTCCCACGGGGCCACCTTGTGCTTTTCCTGAAACGGAACCTGAACGCAGCCTCTACAGCACTTGGTTTGTCCCAGAGGGGCCCCAGGTGGGCGAGGAGGATGAAGTCTCAGTGAACGCCATTCCCCTGTGGTCTAACTGCCTCATACCAGCAAGCGGTGGAAGCAACCTGGGCTACTGTTTACTGGATGTGGGCCAGGCCCTCCTGCTCTGCTTGGAGGCCGGGGCCGGTGGCCAGCGGAGGTGGAAGGAGGACTCACAGGTGGCTCGTGAGGGACACCTGGTGCCTGGCACCGGGGCTGGGAATTTCTGGCGGGAGCTGGAGCCCTGCCCCCTCGGCTTCCAGGTTTGGTCCGCTGGCGGACAGCTCGCAGGGAGAGGAAGAAACACACAGCCCACACGCCAGCTGGGGCTGCCCCCTGAGGCTTTTCCAGTGTTAGCACCGGAAGCTGCACAGGGACACCTGAGAGATGGTCACCCAGGGCGAAACCAGTGTGTTACATAAGGCCAAGGCCTCCATAGCTGCTCCTGCTGCTGCCTCCTCCTGTTCTCGCCAATGCATTCGGGGAGACTGGCAGCCCCGGGGCCGGCTGGGCCCCTCGCCCCCTCCTCTTTTATCAGCAAAAGGAGATAGACTGGAGTTAGCAGTGGCTCAGGCTAATCGAGCCTCTCCCTGTCTTCTAGGACAAAGAGCCTCCCCATCGGCCATCAAACCTCCCTCGACCTCACTCCAGGGCTTTCTCCTAGGCCAGTGGTCGGCAAACTGCGGCTTGCGAGCCATATGAGGCTCTTTGGCTCCTTGAGTGTGGCTCTTGCACAAAATACCACGTGCGGGAGTGCACGTACAGTGCGATTGAAACTTCGTGGCCCATGCGCAGAAGTCGGTATCTGAGCCACAGGTTCTCAACCTCTCTGGAAGCTCGCAGACATAAAGAATCTGGTAGCAGCCGCGGGCCTTCTTATCAAGGAAACACACGTGTGTGCCCAACATCCAGTGCACGGTCTCTGGGAGATCCCAGACCCGGGCAGCCGCTGCTAAGGCCTCCTCCAAGCACCGCTGTATCGTGTCCGCAGACTGCCAGGGAGGCCTGACACTTCTCCCATCCAACACCGCTCAAATGTTTCCACGGAAGAAAATCATGCGTGGGGTGGGGGGTTCAGGGAGAAGCAGCACTCCGGTGGGAGGGCAAAACGTCTCTGAAGCCCCATACTTTGCCTTAAACTTTGCATTCTGCTCCAGAATGTGTCCATGTTTGTTTTAATAGAAATAGTTTCCTTCTCTTCCCAAGCATATCTGCAGAGCAAAATGTATCCTTGTGAAAGTAGAGGCAGGTTTTCCCAATGCTTCCAGGCACTGCCCTGCACGCCATCCTAGAGCCAGCAGGCTCCCGAGGGAAAGCACAGCAACAACTGGTATGAAACCACAGAGGCAGCTCGGGGAGCCTGCCCCTGACCCAGCCAGCCTGCGCGCCTGCAGTACCCTATGGATGATCCTCTAAGACAGCCGTGGGCAAACTACGGCCCGTGGGCCGGATCCGGCCTGTTTGAAATGAATAAAACTAAAAAAAAAAAAAAGACCGTACCCTTTTATGTAATGATGTTTACTTTGAATTTATATTAGTTCACACAAACACTCCATCCATGCTTTTGTTCCGGCCCTCCGGTCCAGTTTGAGAACCTATTGTGGCCCTCGAGTCAAAAAGTTTGCCCACCCCTGGTCTAAGAACTGACAAATGCTCCAAGCCACTCCCCTAATAGAAGAGCCTGGAATAACCAAGCTACCAAGACTTCAGCACAGACCTTTTTAAACTAGGAAAAAAACAATTAGCTAGTCTTTGTCTAAAACTTCACCTTCACATGGCTAAATTAAGATTTAAAGTTGCAGATTACTTATAATGGTGCTTGTCACCTTCAGCTAGAGAAATAAGGACTGACCGGATAAATGCCTTAGGGGCAGGAATATGGTCAAATGCAAAGACTGGCACATAGTAGGTGCGCAAAACAATTTTGTGGAAGGGAATCAATAAATGATTGTCTTATTGAAAGTTTTCTTTCTTCATTGAGGCGGCTTTTCCAATAAGTGGCCAGCAGATGGCGCCATGAGACAAGGCTCTGGAAGGTGAAGCCCACTGAGTAAGGGAAGCCTGCGGACCTTCCCAAATTGGCTTTGGCTTCTGTGAGATAAGCAGTTTCCTGGTCAGTGTGCAGAGGAGCATACCATGACAGATGCACAGAAGGCATCAAAAAAAATTCCCCCCCCCCATTATGCAAAAGGAGTTCCTGCCACCTCCTGGCGTGTGACCCTGGACAAGTTGCCTGTAGTTTCTGTCCAAGGGGCTGAACAGGATGGATGCCACGGTCCCTGCCAGCAAGGCACTGCCCCTGTGAAGGCTACTACTCACCCTGCCCCCCTTTCCAGCCTCAACAGACAGGCAGCTCTCAAAACAGGCGGGTCTGAGACTCAAGCACCTCCAAGGTGCCGAGGGTGAGGCGCCCAGGTGGGCCGGGCAGAGGGGTCACAGCAGGGACAGTTAGTGGGACCATGCAAAGGACTCACCTGGAAAGATAAACTGCTGTCTATGATGAATGAAGTAGGCAGCTTTAAACAGAAGAGGAGGTGAGTCACACACAGAACAGCAAATGAAGCGAAGGGGGAGGGGGCACAGGCATGGGCTTGGAGGGCGGGCTGGTTATCGGGCTGGGGCAGGCATGTCCCCGGTGGGCCTGGCCAGGACAGGGTGATCCATGCAGGAAGGAGAAAAGAAGCTGGGAGAGAGCGGGTGTTGGTAGGAGCCCCCGGGAGTGAAGGGGCTTGCCCTGAGGACTGGGGTTCAGAGACCCAGCCTCCACGGCCACCCTGCTGCAGAGCCCTGGCCCATTCCGTTCCCCTCTCAGGCCTCTTCTCTGTGAAATGTGCACGGGCCCAGGAGGGTAAAATCAGCGGGGAGAGTAATGATTCTGAAAACATCTGACCGTGGTGCTGAGGGTTCTGAGACTCGACCTCACCTTCCAGGGAAGAACATCCTCTCTTATGGAAAACTGAAGGGGGCTCGCCGGGGAGCTGAACTCAGACAGCATGCCTCTACCCCCAGCTCTGCCACTTATGAGGCCCTGGGACCTGGGGAAGTTTGTTAACCGCTCCAGTTGTACTGCACAACGGGGTAGGAATAACCTTTCCCCAGGTTTATCCTTGAAGATAAGCTGAAATGCTCCTGCACAGCAGGGTGGTGGACGGCAGGGGTTTCTCTCCAAGATTAACACCCCCGACCAGTCCTGGCCCGGACACTGCGGTGACCAGAGAGCTAACAGGTCCTGGAGAGAGTGAGGGCTCTGTGCAGCGGACAATGCAGGCCCAGCGCGGGGCATCGGGGAAAGCTGAGACGCTGGCTGACGTCACACAAAGCGCTCTCTCTGTGGCTGCTGTTTTTCAAACAGGCCCTTTCTTTTAGAAAAATCCAAACCAGGAGGTTTAGCCAAAGGCCCAGTTTCAGAGCATATTAATGACAAAGCAGAATGGGAGAGGAGGTTAATCAAATAGGCCATCGCTCAATGGCAGGGGGGGGATGGGTAGGGTCATGACGATGCATTCGTGTCAGAAGATACCCAGCCACGTGCAGATTAAGGAGAAGGGACAGCAAAAGAGAAAAAAGATTCCTACAAAGGCAGTCTCTCCCCATCCCCTGAAGAAGTCCCTAGAACCCTGCTGAGATGGGCCCAGAGAGGGTGCCAGGCCTCCTGCTGGCTGCGGGCGGCCCAGCTGGGTCCCTTGGCACAGGGGGAGCTGTACGTCTGTCCTCCTGGGCCTGGAGTGACAGGTGGGACCTGCCCTGGACGCCACGGGCTGAAGCTGGCAGTGGGCCTGTGGCTCGGCCGGGAGAAAACTGGAGCATCCCAGCGCCCCTCCTTCCTCCAGGCTGCCAACTGAATACACCGAAGGCCAAGACCTACTGCTAGGAGCTGCCGGGGAGGCCAAGGCCGGGCTCAGTCCTCAAATGGACACGTGGGCTCCGCTCCTCTCCCTGGGGAGGCAGCACACCCCAGGCCTGGCCAAGAGGAAGGGGTCCTGGCCCTACAGACCGCAGGGCAGCCTGGGCTGTGGTAGAGTCAGGCCAGCTCTGGTCAGGTCGGCCCTGTGGGACTCAGTGTCGTCAACTACACCTGGGGGATAACCTAATTCCAACTCTACGGGGTCTCTAGTTTTATGGAAAAGGGAACCAACACTTCTGTTTAGGTAGCGGGTTCAGATCTCAGAGCAGGTAAGTGACAGAGGCCGGATCCCCACTCCCAGGCCTTCTGGACCCGCCCTGGCTCCCTGGGAGCTCAGAAGCCCTGAGCCAGTGAGCAAGTCCAGTAGAAGCCAGGCATGTGCAGGAGGGCAGCATGGGGGTTCTGTCAAAAACACAGGCTTCATGTCAGACAGACTTGGCTTTGATCTTGCTCTACTGCTTACATGCTGTACAGCTCAGGGCAAGTCACTTCCTCTCTCTGAACCTCAGTGTTCCCATCTGTAAAATGGGTACAATTCAGGGCTGTTATCAAGTTTAAATACGGTAATGTAATTGAGCTGGGCACAGTGCCTGGTTCCCTGCAAGTGCTCTCAGTGGCTGCAGTGTTTGACCCTGAGCCTGCTGGAGTGTGCTGAGAAGGTGCATGTGACCCCATCCCTAAGAGCCCCCCCAAAGCCCGGCAGTGTGGTACCTGGGAAGTTGAACCTGCTGTCCCGCTGGCCGGGTGAGGGGTTGGGGGGCGTGGTGGCACTGGACGGGTTGGACGATGTTGGGAAGGGAGCCGGCGAGGAGGGCGTGGAGGACGTGGTGGAGGACGGGTTGCTGCTGGAGTCCAGGTGGTTCATGGTTGGAGGGTGCTCCTGCAGGACCAGAGACACAGGAAGTGGGTAGGGACTGTCACTGCCCCGCCCGGCTGCCTCCCGCACCCCTTGCTGGGACCCTCCCTTCCCCGGGTAAAAGCGAAGAGGTCAGCCCAGGGTATCCTGACGTTTTCCGGTCTAATATTTGAAGGAAGGATGGTACATTGACATCCTTACCTCAATGCCCACCCCCTAGAGGACTCCTGCTCATCTGATTTCTGCTCAAACATCCTTTCCTCTCAGAAGCCTTGCCTGAGCCCTGGCTGGGACCGCGCTCCTCCCCTCTATCCTCCCAGAGCTCCCAGCACTTCGCATCAGGGCCCTTCACTATGTTTGCCAACTGCAGGAATCTTGGGTGGTTTTCTGAAGAAGGTCTCTCCCACCATCGTGTCCTGTGAGGGCAGGGCAGGGACCACGCCTGCTCAGCAGACACCAGGGCCTGGCTCTGAGCCAGCACATAGTAGGGGTTTTTAAATGAATTCAATTCAGACCCTGACAAGTATTCGCTTTGTATGTGGCACACAGCAGCTGCCTAACAGTGTTCCCTCCTCTCTTTTGCTAGCCAGACCAACCCAGTGACAGGAGGGTGAGGGGTGGGTGTCCGGGTGGGCAGAAATGCTGACGTGCACGTGCCAGGGTGTGCATGAACATGAGGCGAGTGAGGGGTGTGCAAGGACGGTGTGAGGAGGGGCGTGAGGACGGTGTGAGGAGGGGCGTGAGGACGGTGTGAGGAGGGGTGTGAGGACGGTGTGAGGAGGGGCGTGAGGACCATGTAAGGAAGGGAACACACTTGGTGTAGTTGGAGAAGAGTGGGCAAGTGAAGAAACAAGTTGCCAAGGGGGGAGTGGCAGATCAGGGGCTGGTATTCTACCAAGGAACTGCGCCCATCTGTGCCAGGCACTAATCCTGACAAGCAAGTTCATGACTATCATCTCGTTATCCTTACAACACCCTGTGAATGAAGGTCATCGTCCCCACTTTACAAGATAGGAAAACGGACGCTCAGAGAGGGACAGGAATGCACTCAAAGTCACAGAACAAAGGGGAACAGTCAGGACTCAAACCCAGGACTGTGGAGCCTACCACCTTTGCCCTTCCCTTTCCATTCCTGGAGGGAATGGCATCCTCAGAGGGCAAGGTGATGCCAGGCAGACAGGCAGGAGAGAAGACACGAGCGGGCCCACAGAGACACCAGGTGGAGCAGCCTTCCAGGCGGCATCCTCCGCGTCCCCGTTGTTAACTGGCCCAGCCACCTGCCTCAGTGCCCTCTGCCCAAACCTCCACCCAGGCTGGCCCAGACCAAAGGCCGGACACAGCCAGGGGCAGCCAGTCCCCTGGCCCTCAGCAGAGAGGCAAGTACATGCTAAGCCCTGGTCTGGGGCTGGGACACAACATGCTTGAAACACACAGCCACACCCATAGCCGCCTGGGGGAGGCCACCCACTCCGTGGTCACCAGGATGGGGGTGGCTGCAGAAGCCATCAGCATGGGTGCCTCACAGACACCATGCACCCCTGTGCACGGGGGCTCCAGACAGGCCTGGGGACTATCGTGGGGGACACGGGCCTTCGAGAATCTGTCTAGCTGCAGGGCGTCTGTCTGTGCATTAGGCGAGAAGCCCGGCCACAGGCCATGGAAGAAATGCACTTGCACGGGTTACTTCTGAAGTCCCGTTTGCCGGGCTCAGGGGCTGGGCCTGTCTCTCACTCACAGGGGCCCCAGTCCTCAGTCTGTAAAATGGAGGTGATGTCAGCATGAGGGTCAAAGGAAACACCACTGGGAAAGTTCCTGACTCACAGGCAGTGAAATAAAAATAAATATCAGCTCCAAAAGGGCGAGTTGGGGCAGGGGACGGGTTACGGGCATGTACTAGGAAATGGGAAGTTTGCTACATGGTTAAAGATAGGATCCCCTCTTGCCCCCTCTGGCCCCAGATGTGGACTGCACTGTCCTGCTGGACCCCTGCATCAGGGGGCTTCACAGAGAGGAATCCGGGTGGGGGGCTCTCCTGGCAGAAGCAACAGACCCCCCAGGTCACCGTCCAACGTACCTTCTTTGTCAGTGCCTTGGGGAGGGTTCCGAAATGGGGCTCGGCTGCTCTGTCCACCGGGTTGTTGATGTCCGAAGGGACAGATTCCGTCCTCCGAATCCGAGCTACTGGAGAGGGGAAACCATCAGCAGGGAACAGACTGAGCAAGAGAGAGAGAGACTCGCCCCCAAGGCAGAGGAGAGGAGAGGAGGGCGCAGCACTCACTTGGTAGGAAGGATATCCGACAGGCGGGGGCTTCCTTGGTGCACTTGTTATGACACTTCAACCTGGGGAAGGAGGCGGGGTCAGTGCGTGGACGGCCACGGGGCCTCCCTGGGCACGGACGGGGGCGCCGAGGCACTGCCTGGCCGCCCCGTGCACCTCACCCTGGATGCCCCAATTCCCACAAATTTCTCAACAGACATGAGCTCGGAAACGGAGAACTGATGTGAACAGTCCTCGCGGCTACTCTCTGCTGAGCGTGACCACATTCCTGCTGTTGTCTGTCAGGCCTAGAGCTCGGGAGGTTTGCTTCTACCCATCTGGGCTGTCACGGTGGGTCCCACATCTGCTTCTCTTTTCCAGAGAATGTCTGCCCCACCAAGGATGCCCCAGGGATGCGGAGCAGCCCCTCCCACCACATTCCGGCACGGACCACGTGGTCAGAGGGTCAGCAGGGCGGAGTCCTCGTTCTGGGCCTGCCTGCTGCCCTGCGTCTGGGGGCTCTCACTGACAGATGGGCCTGCCAACCTCACCCCGCAGTTGCAGCGTTGGGCTCAGGAGTCACCCTCCCCACGTGAAAGGCACCACTTGAAAGGAGCTGGAGGCCCCCGATTTAAAGCCAAATGGCCGGGAGCCACCACAGACCTAGCTCTGGCATCTCCTCAGTGGTCAGGAGAGCCGCCAGGGAAACACGATTTATGCAACTGACACAGACGAGGCCCGTCCCCTACAGGCTCGTGGGAACCCACATGCCTTTTTCACTCCGACTGGCTCAGATCTTAGAGCCGTCCTGATGGACAGAGACCTGGAATCCTCTTCCTAGATGCAGCAATGACAAAAATGGGGCCCAGAAAGGGCAAGCAACTGGCCCCACGTCACACAGCAATGCAGGGGCGAAGTGGGTGGGAGCAGAGACGCCAGGGCCACCCTCTGTGAGGTGAGGGCAGCCAGGAAGCAGGGGACAGACCCTGCTCACACCACACTGTTCCCTATCCTTGTCCTTCTCTCCTACCAGGGACCACAATGGTCTGAAAAAAGGAAGCTGGGCTTGTACAGAATCCGCATTCTTTCCTTCTGGAAGGACCACAAGCCATCGCTGTTCTTATCATAGCCTGCCCTCGTTTGCTATCCTTGTGTGCTAACATGTGAGGCTAATTTCAGAACTCCTCCTTGTCCACCTGGCAAACTTCTGCACACCCTTCAAAGCCCACCTCAAATGGTCCCTTCTCTGGGAGTGCCCTGCTTGATGCGCCCGTCCTCTCCCTGCAGAGGGCTGCTCACTCCTGGGTGTGCTGAATGGGATCATGAATCGTAGGTTGAGGGGCACCCTTTGAACTCTGACCTGACCTAAGGCCAATAATCCAGGCGCGGGACTGTGACTAAACGACAAGTATGAAGCTGGCTCCCCTCCCCCACCCCGGCCACCCTCGCCCATCACCTGCAATGCTTGCACTTCACTCCAAACATCATGCTCTTCTGGCACACGTGGCAGATCTGCGACAGCCAGGACTTGGTGGAGAACCTGCAGCGGGTGGACACACAGAAGTGCTCTCAGGGGCCGGGAGAGCAGGGCCTGGAGAGACAAGGGTCCCCAAACAGCCCAGGGAAATCAGGAGACTTGGTTCCCACCCAGAGCCCCAGGCACCCTCTCCCTGGGAGTTTGGGACACCCAGGGGCCACTGCCTCTTGCCCACGCCTCCCCCTCTCCGCCCATTCAGACTGTCCAGCCACGAAGTCATCATTGTCAAAACCCCAACGCTGGTGTGGCCATGGGTGCCAGCTCTTTGGCAGGCAACTTGGCAACAGCAACCAGAAGGATCAGTGTGCAGACCCTCTGAGCCAGCAATCCGTCTTAGGACCCGATCCAACAGATACTCCCACTGGTGTCACATGATGGACGGACAAGGCTCCCGCGGCGCATCAGCCCTCCCCAACACACGAGTGCCAGCCCTGGAAGTTGCTGGAGACCCAGACGCCAGGCCTTGGCCACAGGGGTGGGGCCCGGAGTCTGGAGCGTCAACAAGCCCAATGGGGCGCTGGTGTGTGGACGGTCGTAAGAGCCACACGATATCAAGCGATACTCAGAGGGGCCCGGAGTCTGGAGCGTCAACAAGCCCAACGGGGCGCTGGTGTGTGGACGGTTGTAAGAGCCACACGATATCAAGACCCAAGGAGGTGCAGGGGTGGGCCCAGCACATCCATGTGGCCTGCGGGTGACAGGAAGGGGCTCAAGGTGTGTGTGGGGCTGGGTCCATGGAGGTGATGGAGACAGAGCAGAGACAAAGAGCCCTGAGAAACAGGGATCGAGACAGAGCCCCTACGCTGAAGTGAGACCCCAGCACGTGCAGGTCCCCATCCAGCTGAGTCCCTGCCCGGCTGGGCCTACCTGTGTGTCACCGAGAGCCCGATGTCCCTCCGTACCATCTGTGGGGAGCCGTGGGGGAGATCTGCAGGGGAAAAGGGAGGTCAGGTGGGCCGAGGAAGCCCTGCAGGGAGGGCCCACGCCTGTGACCTTCTATGGCAGAGATCACAAGCCAGATGGGCACAATAACGTACTGAATGGCAGAGAAACATCCCTGAACCGGCATCTATTAAACAGGGACAGGACAGGCTAACCAGGGGCGGCGTGGTCACCCTCATACATGGCCGGCTTCTCTAACGAACGTTACTGCCCGGCCTGTACGGTTCTGGCTTCGGGGGAAGGCGGGCGTGAGAGGCAGAAGGCAGAGTGTGTGAGGGCAGAGGCCTCCACACCCCCACCTCTTGCACTGTCTCGTGGATGCGCCCCCAGGTCACCAGTTGGCGAGGGCTGCAGTCTGGTCACTCTTGTTAAGTGGTGGACGCTGCCTGACCCTTGGCAGAGGGCTGGAGGCTGGTGAGCTGTGCAGCAGCACCTCCCTAGCCTTGCTGAGCGCTCCTACGGGGCCTGGCCTCACTGGGTATCAGTCTGGGTCTTGGGGGAAGTCTCAGGCCACGGGCTGTGGGGTGCTCCTTCTGCCTGTCCCCCTAGAGGGCGCCTGGGCTCTCCTCCTAAGCCTGGCTTCCCCAGAAGAACAGGCAGCCCCAGTGCCTGAGCATCACAGGCTGGCAGTGGAGGACCAGCTGGAAGCGATCCCCCCATCCAGGGGCAGCCTACACACACGACCAGCTCCCTCCTCCCCTCCTATCTCCCTCCCCTCCTCCACAGGTGGGCCCCCTGCTCCCCACCCCCTCTTCCCAGCTCCGCACGGCCTCCCTCCTCCTGGAATAGGTTCTCAACTGAACCCCTGGGCAGGTCTGGGAACCCTCTGGAAAGACATTCTAGACCAGCGGTTCTCAACCTGTGAGTCTTGACCCCTTTGGGGGTCGAACGACCCTTTCACAGGGGTCACCTAAGACCATCGAAAAACACATATATAATTACATATTGTTTTTGTGATTAATCACGATGCTTTAATTATGTTCAATTTGTAACAATGAAATTGGGGGGTCACCACAACATGAGGAACTGGATTAAAGGGTCGAGGCATTAGGAAGGTTGAGAACCACTGTCCTAGACTTTCATCCAATGATCAGACACCTGGGACCCAGAAAGGTCAGGAATATGGTGCTTTAAGGATCTGGGGCCATCCCGGGTCCTCCGAGTCAGCAGCTCTGCCCCCCCGCCCCCAAAGGCCACTGCACCCTCCCGGGTGCCTGGGAGCTGGCCTGGCACACAGCTGGTGCTCGTTAAGTACTGGTTCACTTAAGGCCGAGTCCCACAGACCCAACCAGAAGGAGAGGGCGTGCTGGAGTGCTGACTCCTCCCACGGAGGGACCGAAGGGCCTGGCTGCCCCGCTGATGCTGGACCCACGCTGCACCCCCTGCAGCTCTCGCCAGCACATCTGCCATGCGCTGACTCTTCCCAACTCTCTCCGGGGGTTCACCCCAGGCAACAGCAGCCACACCATTAAAGCACATGGTCTAAAAGGGGTTCGGTTGCCCAGCCAATGTGGCTCAGTGGTTGAGCGCCAACCTATGAACCAGGAGGTCACGGTTCGATTCCCGGTCAAGGCACATGCCTGGGTTGTGAGCTCGATCCCCAGTGTGGGTTGTGTAGGAGGCAGCCAATTAATGATTCTCTCTCATCGTTAACATTTCTCTCTCTCTCCCGCTCCCTTCCTCTCTGAAATCAATAAAAATATATTTAATACATAAATAAATAAAATAAAAGGGGTTAGGCTGTCGGCCCAAGAGAAACAGACGGTGGGCAAGCGAGATTTCAATCATCAATCTCTGAGTGAAGCCTGTGACTGATTTGCAATGTCTGCCACGGGCACGGATACAAGGGAGGAGAGAGGGCACGTGTGCCAGGCATCGCCTGCCCCTCACGAGATGAAATGCCGGCCCTGCAGGCCTCATCCCGCCTTCCCGCAGCTGGAGAAGCGGCCTCACGGGTGTGGACCCTGCATCACACAGCACCCGGGAGGACCCGAGGGCCAGACTGCCCCAGGGACGCCGGCTCGGTGAGGGCCCCAAGCTCCCACCTGTGCCCTGGGGAGGGGAAGCGCAGCCTGCCTGGTGGTCCTGCACCAGCCCAGCTCCATCTCGGCCAAGCCAGTACCTGACATCCCCTCCTCAGCTCTCTGCTTAGCCAGCTCAGGGCAGGACAAAGGTAAACTGCTACTTGGCTCAGGGGAAGAGGATCTGCGTCCACTGGGACAACTACAAGCAGCTCCAGAGGCTCGCTGTTTCCTGCTGCACTGACTCAGGAGAGAAGCCCCACAGCGGAGCCATGGAGCCACGGAACCTGCTCCCACCCGGAGGTGGAGGGGAGGGGCGGAGATCAGGCTGCCCGGGCTTCCTCCTCGCCTCCTGAGGGCAAACCTCAGGTCCTCACTCACAGGCGAGCCGCCTTCCTGCCCCAAGGATGTCCCTGTCCTGCAGAGCCGGGCCCTGAGATGTCAGCTGGGGTCTGCGGGTGGCTGATGTCCATCTACGCCAGACAGGTAGTACCTTCCTCCCAGGAGGGCGGGGTTCCTGCCGCAGCCCAGCGGGTGAACACTCCCTGCCCGAGGTCACCTTGGGGAGGGCTTGCCATGGGGACTGCCCACCGACTGTGAGTGACACAGAGAGGCTGCTGGCTGGGCTGAGGCCAGCTCGTCCCGTGGGGGCCACCTGTCCTAGCGTGATGTCCTGAGGCAGTTCCCAGCTCCTCTGCTTCTGGACCCCGGAAAGGCCAGGTGCACTAAGAGAGGGTCAGAGGCATCCACCCCGATGGGGACAGCGAGACACACACCGCTCCCGGTGGCAGAGGGAGGGGACGAAAATGAATCACTCTTACCAAACCTGGAGGAGACAGAAAAGAGAGAAAGAAAGCAGGATTAGGGCATCGTGCTGGCTCCAGTGTCCCCCAGAACATCATCCCGGGGAGGGAGGGGCAAGGCGCTGGATGAGGACTTTGAGCACCTAGGGTGTGGGGCTAGGACGGCTGGGGAATGTGGGGACTTTCCCCAATGGGAAGGACTAGAGGTGCCCTCCTGGGCCCCCCGTGGGGACAAAGCTATATCTGTGCACTCTCATACATCAGCTTCTCTGAGCCTCGCCGCCACCAGCACGGTAATTAGAGTTCCCCTGGCAGGAGGCGGGCTCAGTCTGCCAGAGAGGAACCGGCTGGGGCAGGAGGGCAGGGAGAACAGTGTAGAGCACAGAGCTGACCTCCAAGCAGGGCCGGGTGGGGACATGCCCTGAGCAATGCTGTCAGAGGGATAGAGAGAGCTGGGGAAACCAGGCCACTCAGCCTGCCCTCGGGGCTCCCTGAGGGCAGCCGGGTGGCCTGAGTGTCCGGACCAGCGCTACTTCTGCTGGCTCTGTGGAGAAGAGACTCAGAGCCCCAGGGTTCGAGGCCAGCTCACCGGAGGTGGGACCTGAGGCAGAGGTGGTACCTGCCCGAGGCTCTGTTCTCCGCCTGGAGCCAGGATGAGACCAGAGCCCTCCTAATGCTCTTTGTGGGGAAAATGGGCAGCAGACACCCTGGGTTTTGCCCACTGCGATGCCCTACTTCACCCTGCCCATAAGGGTATGTTGACAAAGGCAATTTTTGTAATAACAAACAACAAAAATGACAAGGAACTCAATGTCCACCAAGAGGGGAGGAGTTAAACTATACAATGGCATAAAAATGAGAGAAAGATGAGGCATTTGGATAACTATAAATATATACAGAACCAATAACCTGGTTGCTACTGAAAGGGGAACTGGGTGATTAAGGACATGGTAGGGGGTCACTTTATACTATACATCCCTAAAAAGATGAATAAACTACACGAGCTACGAAGCTTTTGCATTTTGGACCATGTGACTGTTATTACCTATTTAAAATACGGGTAAAAAATATTAAAAAAGTAAAAGAGTACTGACATGAAGTTCTCAAGATATCAAGGTAAGTTGAAAAAGTAGGTTATAGGACAGAGTGCATGGTTTTTTATCGTCCTTAGAGGTTTCAGCCAGATATTCCATTCTCTTCTGGGCACGTGGGAGTTACACTTCCTGGCTCCTTTGTTTGGGTAGGATCATGAGTGGTGAGTGGAACTTTCAGGAAAGAGCGTTAATTGCTTTCTTCCTCTACCGCAGTGGAACATTCAGCCTGGGACCTGGAATGGGCCGACCCATGATGGACAGGTAGCATGAGCAAGAAATAAATCTTTGTTTGAAGACCCAGGGACCTGGGGGTTATTTGTCACTGCAGCATAATCCAGTCTATCCTGACTGATACATGGCATCGTTTCATTTGTGTGTGTGTGTGTGTGTGTGTGTGTGTGTGTGTGTCTGTGCATGTGCACACTTGCAAGGAAATCTAGTAAGATTCAGCCCAAGCTGTTAAGGTAGCCTGGGGAGTAGACTGAGAGACAGGGGTACCTTTCACTGTACATACTTATATATTAGTTGATGTTATGTCCTTTTCCAATTAAGTCTATATTACCTTTATAATGAGAAAATTGTAGTCAAAACTTTCAGCGGATTGCAAAGTCAACAACTGTCTGGCCGGAGTACTTACCTCGTCAAGTAAGTACTTGGGGAGACCTCGTCAATGCGGTTCCCCAGCTGAGACTCATGGGACTTGCTCCGGGTGAGCGTGGGGAAGCTGGGCAGCAGCTGGAAGACCTTGCGGCTGGGAGGGGGTGGCGTCCTTGGCGGCTTCAGCTTGGTGTGCCGTCGCAGCTGGGGCGTGGTTGGGGGGGTGATGAAGCTGTGCAGGGTACGGGGGGTCAGCCGGCCACTGGCGTGCAGGGGGATACAGGTGTCCGTGAGGCCCTCGCTGGGGCCAGGGGTGGGGAAGTCCGAGGTGGGCAGAGCTGACACGGAGACGGAGCGGGGACCCTGGGCATTGCTGCCCATCCTGCCCAGCTGGGCGCTCCCCGGGGGCCAGGGCAGGCTGGCTGGTGAGAGGGTGTCCGTGGAAGGCCCTGAGCCACTTTCCCGCCGGGCATCCAACGAACTCCAGCCCGAGTCCTCTTTGTGCTCCCTTCCTGTGGGCCGAGAAGTCGAGTCATAGGAGGCTGGGGCTAGAGGAACGTACAGGTGAGGTGGCTAGGGCCCAGAGAGGTTAACACCCTGTCCAACGTGGCACAGCTCCTTTTATTAAAAAAAATTTTTAAATATATTTTTATTGATTTCAGAGAGGAATAGAGAGGGAGAGAGAGAGAGAAACATCAATGATGAGAGAGAATCATTGATCGGCTGCTCCTTGCACGCCCCCCGCACTGGGGATGGAGCCCACAACCCGGGCATGTACCCTGACCAGGAATCGAACCGTGACCCCCTGGTTCATAGGTCGATGCTCAAACCACTGGGCCATGCTGGCAGGGCTGCACAGCTCCTTAATGGAAGGCTTCCAGGACCAGCCTTCCCCTGGTTTATAGAGGCCTCTCACGCACAGGCATCTTTTTCCTCCTTTTCTAATGGACCGTGAGGCCCCCGCCATGGATATTACTCTCCCTGTTTTACAGAGAGAATATGAGGCCCAGAGGGGACTAGCTCGTGCGGGGCTCCTGCTGGCAGGTCTGTGGGGAACAAGCCAGCAAACCAGCTCCAAAGTGGGCGGCTTCAGAGAGGGAAGTGGCGACTGATCTTTGAAGAGTTAGGAAAGACAAGCTGGGGCTTGTAGAGAGGTAACTCCACTTTAAGAAAATTCAAATGTCAGGAAAAGGGGCTGTGCCAACCCTCTAACAGCAAATTGCCCTGGAAATTTGCTAGAAAAGAGATCCAGCTAGAAAGGGATCAACAGCCGCTGGCTTATGAGAGAAGCCTGTGAATGACCTTGGGCTGCCCCCACAGTGACCTCTGCCTGAGGCCACTGAGACCTCGAGGCTCTGTGAGGCTCCAACTCAATGGCACGGTCTGTCCATTCATTCAAGCACATGCTGGACGCCGGGTATCAAGGCATAAAAAAGACATCTGCTGAGCCTGGAGAGTCCAATGAGGGTGACAGACACTCAACACCATGGTTGTGTGCTGACCAGGAGACGGATGGGGAGCCAGAGAGCACAGAGGAGGAAGATCCTAAATGGCCTGGGGGTTGGGGGGCTTCCCAGAAGAGGGGGCACCTGGGCTGAGCCAATGAGGGAAGCGGTGGATGCAGCAGGTGTACTGAGCAGAGGGAACAGCCCATGCAAAAGTAGGGCGCACACAGCACCTTCTGGTACCTACTAAGAGTTTCACGTGCCTTGAGAGGTCAGGACAAGCCAGGGAGACGTAAGAGATGAAGCGGAGGGTCAGTGCACCTGGGACCAGCTCAGGAGGGACCCTGGATGACTTGCTGGGGATTTTAGGTTTAACCTTAGAGGAGATGGGCAGATACTGAAGGGGTGGGGGCAGGGAGCAAGGACCCCATCTAGACACCCTGTTGTGGGGAAGGAGAAGATACCTCCCTCCTCATATTTATCAATGAGTAGAATGTACCGGAAGGTAGATTGTGACTCCAGACAAAATGAACTTCTTCTACCCTGGAACCCTTCTACTTTGTGCTTTGTCCCATCTCCCCCGATCCTCTCAGCACGTGAGGTCGCTGAGATGCAGGGAGGCCACGTGCAATGCTCAGGTCGGACAGCTAAGCAAGTGGTGGGGTGGGAACGGAGCCCCATGTCCCGACCACGGCACTGGCCTCCTCCCACAAGGGTGTCAGTCCTGAATAACCTGCAATGGCTCCACCCTGGCAGGCAATGAGCCCTCTGTCATCAGAGGCAGGCAAGCCTAGCCCACGCAGCCATCTATCGGGTACGGTGGAGAGAGGTTAGCCTTTACGGTTCTTGGGGTTTCTTGTGCATTCCGCCCCCTCCTCAAATGCCCTTCCTCCTACTCCATCGCATGGTGCCTCTCTTCACGAGTCAACTTGGCAGAATGAGTCACTCGGTCTGAGTGTTCCTTGTTGCCCCTTCGGAACTGCGGCCACGACTGACACTTTAACTTCTACACTAATCGATAGGCAGCACGGACATGTTTCTTGGTCAGAGGATGAATCCATGGGTAAGTCTGCCACCAAAGAAACGAGCCCCAAATTCTCCAAACTGACTGCTGGGCTCTGCACCAGCTCAGAGAGGGCAGGTGGGTCTTGCTTTGCGTGCCACCACCCGGCCATCGGCCGTGGCTCTTGGAATGACCCTAGAGTCACTTAGAAGGAAGAGCGTGGGGACTGACTGGTGCTGTGCTATGGAGTAGAGCAGGCACCATATTCCTGTTTACGGCCACTGGCACAGGGAACCCTCCTCACTCACCTTTCTTAATACCAGAGACCACAGGGAAATGACTTGGACATTTCCCGTCAGACAACAGCCTAATACTGAAAAGAGCACCGAGTGTGTCGCAGGCTCTGTTCTAAGCGCTTGACTGTAACTCAGTTCATCCTCACAGCAACCCCATGAGAGAGGTGTTGTTATTGCCTCCATTTTACAGATGAGGAAACTGCGCACAGTGGGGCTGAATAACTGACCCAGCTCCTATGGGATGTAAGTGGCTGAGCTAGGCTGCAACGAGGCTGCTCTCACCAAGCCTGCTGGGTGCAACGAAGACTCTGCCTGCATGATCCGAGAGGCAGGGTGACCACGGGTACCCACCCCATCCGGCAGGTACCCTTGAGGTATGGCCACCACAGGGCAGACCCTTTGGGTGGGGTGCAACCAGGACCCTTTCAGGGATGTAGAGGCACCACAAGCGGAGATCGAAGGAGAGAGAAGGACCTGTTAAAGACGCTCGCCCGAGGGGCCTCCTCCAGGGCATTGTGGGAAAAGCACCCTGAGGTTGGAGAGGCCCGAGTCCCAAGCGCAGCTCTGCTATGCGCCAGGTGTGGAACGCAGACAGCTCGCCCAGCGCGTCCGATGCTCCAGCTGCTAAAGGAGCTTACTGCCACCACTCAAAAGGGTGTTGCCACATACGTGTCAAGTGCCTGGCTTAATAAATTAGTCTTGGCATCCGGCAGCCTTCCCAACACACACAGGTCACCACAACTTGACAGCTGGCTTCTCCGCAGTTCTTTACAGTTCAGGCCCACAGAGGGAGGGCTGACAAATTACCCCGAGATTCCAGCTTAGGTGGCAAGTACTTTTAAATTTCCACAATGTGGGAACCAACCAACCACCATCAAAGACTGAGGCTGAGATCCCCTCTCTGCCTCCATGTGCTGTGTGTCCATGGACTCCCCGCTCTGGGCTCGGTCTCCTCCTTGTTGACCGTGTCTGTCATTTCATTCTCTGCACCTGCCAGGAGGCCTGGCGCATCGAGGTTTTCTGAATCGAGTAAGCGCTCCGCAGAGGCTCTGTGCTCAGAGGTGGGCTTGGTGCAATGGGGCCGGGGAAGAAATGAAGCCCAGGCTCCTCTGATAAAACAATCAAGCAGAATATAAACCTCAGTGCTTTCCTTAAGCCTCAGGCAGCCAGAAATACGACAGGTGGCTCAGATAATTAAAAAACACACCTAATTCCACTCATTAGGCTCATTTCAAAGCCTGATCTGTGTGGTCGGTAGTGGGAGCATTAACAGTCAGGGTGTTTGAAGTTGTCTCCAAGGCAAGAATTAGAAAGCCAGCAAATGATTCCCCGGGAATGCAGCTAATGCCAGGATTACACGCTTCGCCAGGGGCAGCCATGCACACGCCCAGGGCTGGAACACTGTATAATATCTCCAATCCTGCTTGGCTCAGGCCGAGCCCACCTCGGTGTGTGCCTTCTGAGCGCACAGCCCAGCCAGCCAGTGAGGACCGGAGACCAGAGAGGTGGGGAGAGGGCTGGGGGGCGCTGGGCTAGGGAGTGGGCTGGAACGCAGGAAGCTGCTGGAGGGGTCACAGAGCCTAACAAGTGTTCTCTGAAGAAGGGAAGTCATACAGGGCCCGCCCGGCAGGCCAGCCTGGGGTTTCTAACAAAGGCTAGAGCTTCCCGTGTTAGCACTGGCCAGGTCTGAGCCTCTGACCTGGGGAGAGCCTCTGTCCCAGGTCAGGCCCATCACACACTTTCTGAATGTCTGCCCTGGCCTTTCCAAGCAACCCCAGGACCCCTGGGCCACACCTGCTCCACCCATCATCCACTCAGCAACGGCCACGGCCCCCAGGGAACCAGGCTAGGCCTGGGGAGAACAGGCGGGTGTCTAAGCCAAGGTGGAGGGAGAGGGAGCCAATGGGGCTGGCCTTGGCGCTGGGGAGGCAGGCCCTACCTACCCAGGCCTGTCACCTTCCGCAGGCAGGTGAGGGCGTACTGCAGGCGGCCACACTCCTCCGCACTGGCCCCACAGCGCCGCAGCGTCTCCTTCACCTTGGCCTCGTTCATGTCCAGCAGGGCATCCAGCGTGAGCTCTCGGAGGATCTCCTGAGGAAGCACAGAAGGGACAGGCAGAGAGCCGGTGAGCACGCCGGGGGTCTGGTCTTCATTCTCCCCCTGGCCAGCGCTGGCCTCCCCGCTGAGTGGCAGGGGCCAGCTGCTGGTGGGCAGGCCTCCAACACGAGGCCACCACTTGTCTGAGGTCTCAGGCAGCCAGCCCTCACCCCAACCCCGCCCTCCCAGAGACGGCAGCTGAAGTGGAGAGGCCTCAGCTTCAGGGTGGGGGTGGGAGGGAAGGAAGGAAGGGGAAAATCTGAAAAGTGTTGATCAGGGCACATGGCCCCTCTTGTTTCTTTTCATTCCTCTGCCCAGAAAAATGATGAATCACAACAACTTTCTAGAATGACAGTACTTGAGATAAAGACGGCCCTTTACAATTCCGCTGCACTGTATCTGAATCAGACAAGAGTTCAAATAAAACTGGCTTAGTGATAGGATTAAAAAGAATTAACCCTTGCCCTGGCCGAGTGGCTCAGTTAATTGGAGCATCGTCCCATACACTAAAACAGGGGTCCTCAAACTTTTTAAACAGGGGGCCAGTTCACTGTCCCTCAGACCGTTGGAGAGCTGGACTATAGTTTAAAAAAAGACTATGAACAAATTTCTATGCACACTGCACATATCTTATTTTGAAGTAAAAAAACAAAACGGGAACAAATACAATATTTGTATTTGCATGTGGCCCGCGGGCCGTAGTTTGAGGACCCCTGCACTAAAAGGTTGCAGGTTCGATCCTTGGTGGGGGCAGGTACTGGAGGCAATGTTTCTCTCTCACATCGATGTTGCTCTCGCTCTCACTCTCACTCTTGCTCTCGAAAATAAGTAAAAACATATCCTCAGTTGAGGATTAAAAAAAAAAAAATTTAACCCTCAACAGGCATATAGGCCCTTACTACCTCCCTTTAGTTAATTCTCAGTCACAACCTTCCAAAGGTTAAGGTAGCAGAGAGGGAGTGAGGACTGAAGTGTGAAAAGGACACCATGTGGACTTGGAAGATGGAGGGACCACATGAGAAGGAATGTGGATGGCCTCTAGGGGAGCGTGTCCCCCAATGGCCAGCAAGGAAAGGGGCACCTCAGACCTATCTGGCCACCAGGAACTGGATTCTGCCAACCACCTGAATGCCCTTGGACGTGGCTTCTTCCCAAAGCTTCCAGGTAAGAGGCCAGCCTGGCTGATGCCTGGGCTTAAGCGCGGTGAGATGCTAAGCAGGGAGCTAGCAGAGCCCACCTGGACTCCTCCAGCCAGTCTCCCCCTACAGAACTGTAAGCTAATCAATGGGGCTTGCAAGCCGCTGGGTTTGTGGTGATTTGTGACGCAGCAGCAGAAAACTCCTACAAAGAGGGATGATCTGAATCGAGGCCTAACTGACTTCAGAGCTGTGCTCTTTCCCCTCATCAAGGGGAAGAAACCCCTCTGGTTCTGATCACTTCGAGTCACAGGTGACACCAAGCCTGGAGCAGGTCCCTGGCCTCGGTGGCTTGTGGGGTGACTGCCATGAAAACGCGTCCTTGCACTGCTATGCGATATGGCCGAGCACAGAGAAAGCTCGGAGTTGCGGGACCAGTGGTAAGATGTTCTGGGTTTTCTTCTTCTTTGGCCCCTTTCTATATTTTCCAGATTTTCTATAACAGAGAACGCCAGACACCCCACACCCAGTGATTCATATGAAGCTCACAATCCTTGAGAATCTACGCCGGTTTTCATTGATTTTAGCAAGCTGTGTCTAATTTTACTTTAAAAGAGTAATGCTATCGTCAGACTACCCCCAAGTGTCAAAACTGAACCTGATAAAGATACTGGCTGTGAGTCACTGGGGCAACAGTTTGGGGCTTTGTGATGCCCTGGGCTTCGTATGTGGCCCCTGAAGTCTGGTCACGTTCCCCCCCCCTCCCCTCCCCACCTCTGTCTTGTCTGTATATTCTTCAGTCCCCAGGGCTGTGGACAAGAATCTCGTAGCTGTTTAGGATGATGCACCCCAACAGTTAGAAATAAACACACAAGTGAAAGCACTGAGAAGCTCATCATGGGTTGGACAAACCCGTGGTTGTCAGACATCCTTCTGACGATAAAACCAGAGCGTCACAAGACGATGATAAGAACAGCACAGAGAGGGCGCTGATTAGATAACAGCCCTGGGCAGAAACTTTTGTTCATCGGTGTGTTTTCCTTTACTGCCCTCAGTAACGCGCTTCAGCAAATGCCGTTGTGACATCTTTCCCCTCGTTTTACTATGAAAAGCAAGTTGGCAGCATTGTCAGGGGACAAACAAATGGCTGGTGACCTTTACACAAGTGCAGACACCAGCCTCCACCTCTCCCTGGAGCGTCCTGTTCTCCCTCGGTTGGTTCTCACGGAGGCTCCTGCATTTCCCAAGGCGGTGATGACTCAGCAGGTTTCCAAGAGGAGGTTCCTGTATCTGCCTGATTGTGTGTGAGGGAGGGGAGGGGGTGGAGCGGGGACAATGACATGGACACCAACAAGCCCAGAAACCCAAGCCCCAATCTAACTAAAATGCAAAGGATTGGTTTTCTTTCTTTATATTCCTCTCTTCCCCACCCACACCAAGTTCCAGTTTCTCCAACATAATAACTACATTTATTATTACAAACTATTTGCCAGTACAATAGGCCCAGTACTTCGTATAGTACTATCTCCGTTCAAAACAATTCAGCAAGGAGAGGTATTAAGCCCATTTTACTGAGGCTCAGAGACCTCATGCAAGGCTACTTAGTAAATGGCAGGGCCAGAACTGAAACGCAGGGATGCCATCCCCCAAACTCCTTCCATGATTCCAATCCGGGGGTCCCACTTAAACTGGAGCGGCCCCAGCCTCTTCCCGGACGGGCGTCGCTTCCTGGAGTGTGAACGCTGCATCAGTGAAATGAGAGTGCTTAGCACACCGCTGTGGCCGTGGTTTCTGACAGCTCCTTCCACTCTCCAGTCCCTGGTCCCTCCCCGCAGGGCTGGATCGCTGGGCTGGGGAGAGGGACCACCTTCCTACCTGAAAGGGCAGTCAGTGAGCTATCCCCCAGTCAGCGGGTTTCCTGGCAGCGAGGGTCTCAACACGCAGCCTCGGGGCCAGGCCTTGGGAAGTGAGATCCGAGGAGATGAGGCCCCTGGATCTGTTTCTTGATGGAGACACGTGTCCTAGAAACTAGCCTCTGGCCTCTACTGGACAATAAGAAGTCCAGGAGCAGCAGCAAGTGATGTTAGTCAGAAACCCACCCTCTGCCCCCAGGCAGTGCTGGGGTAAGAGGGGAGGCTATGGGAGGGGCACCAGATATTCTGGTTTTCAAGAAATCTGAGTTTTTACTTTAAAATAAAAATGTTACATGGTGGCAACTAATGCAAACTTGTGCAACCAAACAATGGTTCCACGGCGCCCCCAGACTCCCGCATGGAGGGAGACCTTGCATGAAGAATCTGACGCCTTCCGAATGTCTGATCAGCGAACTTGGAAAGCTTGATTTCTGCAGGCAAATGGGGAGAACTGGTGGCCCAGCAGCCAAGTGTCCTTGGCATCATACCACTGGGTGGCCAGGCCTTCTCGGTGAGGTACCCACGGTGGCTCTGGCACCCCAAGTGCCCAGCCTTCCAAAACCTCTGAGTGACTTTGGACCAGAGTTATTTCAATCCAGAGGGGAGAGCATGAGGCAGGGATGCTGGAACCAGCGGCCCCCAGCTAAACAACAGCCAGGCTGGGCCATGGCCATGCAGGCCCTGGAGTGGCCCGGCCATCTCCCTCTGTCCTGACTCAAGCAAAGCCCCGCAGCAACTCGGCACCCCCAAACCTCACACACGGATGTGACTTGCCCACCCACGGTGCCCAGTCTGAGTTAGGAAGTTATTTCAGACCAAAGTAATGCACATACAAACTTTCCGGATAATTTCTCAGCCAGAAGCAAATTAGGGATCAGTTTAACCACCTTCTAAAGGTGAACTCACAGACCTGCTGACAACCTGGCAGGCAGAGCAGCTCTGAAACCCTCTCAGGTCTCAGAGGCCTCAGGAGAGCCGCACACCCGCCTGCAGGCACAGGGGACGTGCCACCTGTCCCACAGCCACGGGCCCTACCCCCAGTTCTGGGGAAGGGACAAAGGCCAAGAGGCGATTGTTTTGAGGAGAATCACTGCCCACCCCACCCCACCCCAGCTTCCGTGTAAAGAAGAAAATACAAACTAGAAACCAGGGCTGCCCAGCCCGTTTTGGGAGTTATCCTCGCTCCTGAGCCGGTGTGAGCAGGGAGCACAGAAGCAGGGCAGTGAGAACATGGGTCAGAGCGAGAGTTCGAGGACACTGGCTCCGCCTCTGCCCATCTCCTCCAGACACAATGTACACTCCCCAGTGGGCGGCATTCAGTTATTCTTTCTGATATGCATCATGATTAGAGAGCAGGGTCAGCTGGGCACTGAGGTCCCTCCCCGCCTGTGATCATTAAACTGCTGGCTCTGCTCTCTATAGAAGCGGGGGTGGGGGCCTGGCCCAAACACGGCGGCCCCCTCCCCTCAGCAGCTGGCAGTGGCTGGAGTCAGGCCAGGCGGGTATCAAATGGTATCCCGAGACTTACCAGCAGCCACGGGGCTGCCTGGGGTCTATACTTAGAAACCTGTGCCGGCTTACACGGAGAGCCATCCACGCTCGCCGTGCTCGGTCAGGTGGACAGTGGAAATGCCAGGGCGCTTCCAAGCCTGTGTATGGGCCACATGGTAGCTCAAGCCCCATCAGGCGGAGGCCGGGTGGAAGGAAGACCAAGAGGCAAACCCAAGCTTTGTGCATCTGTTTAGCTTTCTAGGCCTAGAGCACAGGATGGGTCAGTAAAGTCAGAACTGCCCCCATCAGTGCTGCTGGCAATCAAGGTCCATTTCGTGGGGTGGGGTGGGGTGGAGGGGAGGGTGGGCAGAGGCCTCCTCCAGCTGCCCTGGCTGGGAGGGGAGGTGGTCATTAAAGGGCCAGGATCCTTCACCACAGATGCTTCCCTGGGAAC